CCTATCACCCCAAACCACTCCCAAAATCCCCCCAAAGTCCCCTCCAGACACCCCAAAAAACCCCGAATCCCCCCCAACCCCCTCCCAGCACCCCAAAACCCACCCAAAATCCCCTCCCAACACCCCAAACCCCCCCAAAATCCCCTCAACACCCCAAAACACACCAAAACACCCCCAAATCCCTCCTATCACCCCAAAAAAACCCCAAATCCCCCCCAAACTCCTTCCCGACACCCCAAACCCCCCCCAAAATTCCCCCCAAACCACTCCCAAAATTGCCCCAAATCCCCTCCAGACACCCCAAAAACCCCCAAATCCCCCCCAAACGCCCTCCCCAGCTGCGGGCAGCGGTGGCAGCAGCCGAGACCCCCGAGGAGCCGGGGGGACCCCGGGGGGACCCCGAAATTGAGCTCAGGGAGCTGCGGGAGCAGGAGCGGAGGGGGAGGGAGGAACTGGAGCACCTGAGGGCAGGTAACGGGGGGGGGGGGCAGTTTGGGGGGGCAATTTGGGGTCCTAAGGGGCAGTTTGGGGGCTGGGGGGGCAGTTTGGGGGCTGGGGGGGGGAAATTTGGGGTCCTAAGGGGCAATTTGGGGGGGGTTATGGGGAGTTTATTTGGGGTCGGGGGGAGTCATTCAGGTCCTGGAGGGGCAATTTGGGGTCTGGGGGGGCAGTTTGGGGGTCCTGAGGAGGCAATTTCACGTCGGAGGGGGCAATTTGGGGTCTGGGGGGGCAGTTTCAGGTCTGGGGGGCAATTTGGGGTCTGGGATGGGGGAATTTGGGGTCTGGGGGAGGAATCTGGGGTCTTGGGGGGGGCAATTTGGGGGGGGTTATGGGGACTTTATTTGGGGTCTGGGGGAGAAATTTGGGATCTGGGGGCACAATTTGGGGTCTGAGGGGGGAAATTTGGGGTCCCGAGGGGCAATTTGGGGGGGTTATGGGGAGTTTATTTGGGGTCGGGGGCAGTAATTCAGGTCCTGGAGGGGCAATTTGGGGTCTGGGATGGGGCAATTTGGGGCTGGGGGGGCAGTTTGGGGGCTGGGGGGGCAGTTTCAGGTCTGGGGGAGGAATTTGGGGGTCCTGAGGGGGCAATTTGGAGTCTGGGGGAGAAATTTGGGATCTGGGGGGCACAATTTGGGGTCTGAGGGAGGAAGTTTCGGGTCTGGGGGGGAAATTTGGGGTCTGGGGTCGAAATTTGGGATCCTGAGGGGCCATTTGGGGTCTGGGGGGGGGAAGTTTTGGGTCTGGGGGGGAAATTTGGGGTCTGGGGTCGAAATTTGGGGTCGTGAGGGGGAAAATTGGGATCTTGGAGGGACAGTTTGGGGTCTGAAGGGGCAATTTGGGATCCTCAGGGTGGAATTTCGGGTCTGGGGGAGGAATTTGGGGTCTGGATGGGCAATTTGGGGTCCTGAGGTGGTTTTGGGGTCTTGGGGGGGGCAGTTTGGGGTCCTGAGGGGTTTTTTGGGGGGGATATGGGGGTTTTTTTGGGGTCCTGAGGGGGTTTTGGGGAGATATGGGGGTTTTGGGGTGGTTTTTGGGGGGGTTATTGGGGTTTTGGGGTGGTTTTTGGGGTGATTTTGGGGGTTTTGGGGTGGGTTTTGGGGGGATATGGGGGTTTTTGGGGAGTCCTGATGGGTTTCTGGGGTGATTATGGGCGTTTTGGGGTGGTTTTTTTGGGGATATGGGGGTTTTGGGGGGTCCTGATGGGTTTTTGGGGTGGTTTTTGGGGGGTCCTGATGGGTTTTTGGGGTGATTATGGGGGTTTTGGGGTGGTTTTTTGGGGTGATTATGGGGGTTTTGGGGTGGTTTTTGGGGGGGTTATCGGGGTTTTGGGGGGTCCTGATGGGTTTTTGGGGTGATGATGGGGGTTTTGGGGTGGTTTTTGGGGGGGATATGGGGGGTTTTGGGGAGTCCTGATGGGTTTTTGGGAGGATTATGGGGGTTTTGGGGTGGTTTTTGGGGGGTTATTGGGGTTTTGGGGTGGGTTTTGGGGGGATATGGGGGTTTTTGGGGAGTCCTGATGGGTTTTTGGTTGATTATGGGGGTTTTGGGGGGTCCTGATGGTTTTTGGGGTGGATTTTGGGGGGTCCTGATGGGTTTCTGGGGTGATTATGGGGGTTTTGGGGTGGTTTTTGGGGTGATTATGGGGTTTTGGGGTGGTTTTTGGGGGGTCCTGATGGGTTTCTGGGGTGGTTTTGGGGGGTTTATTGGGGTTTTGGGGTGGTTTTTGGGGGGGGATATTGGGGTTTTGGGGAGTCCTGATGGGTTTTTGGGGGGGTTATTGGGGGTTTTGGGGTGGTTTTTGGGAGGATTATGGGGGTTTTGGGGTGGTTTTTTGGGGGGTTATTGGGGCTCTCTAAGGACCCCCAGGTTTGGGGTCCCCTCTGATTTTGGGGTCCCCCTCCCCAGGGCTGGCAGAGCTGCTGGCCCAGCTGGAGGAGGGACAGGGGGGACCCCGGGGACCCCCCCCAGGATTGGGGGGGAGCCCCCCCAGGATTGGGACCCCCTGTGGGAGCAGCTGCGGCGCCTGGAAATTGGGGTGACCCGGGTGCTGCTGCGGGGGGGGGCACCCCAAAACCCGGGTGAGGGCAACTGGGAGCAACTGGGAGCAACTGGGAGCAACTGGGAGCGACTGGGAGGGACTGGGAGGGACTGGGAGGGACTGGGAGGGATGAGATTGGGGGGTTTGGGGGGGTTTGGGGCGATTTTGGGGGAAAATTTGGGGGGGTTTTGGGGGCGCAGCTTTGGGTTTGGCAGGGGGAGGATTTAGGGGTTCATGGGGGAAAATTTGGGGTTTATTGGGGGAAATTTGGGGGTTAATTCAGGAAAATTTGGGGTTTATTGAGGGAGAATTTGGGGGTTAATTCGGGAAAATTTGGAGTTTATTGAGGGAGAATCTGGGGGTTTATTGGGGGAGAATTTGGGGTTTATTGGGGGAAATTTGGGGGAAATTTGGGGTTAATTCGGGAAAATTTGGAGTTTATTGAGGGAGAATTTGGGGTTTATTGGGGGAAATTTGGGGGTTAATTCGGAAAAATTTGGGGTTTATTGAGGGAGAATTTGGGGTTTATTGGGGGAAATTTGGGAGAAATTTGGGGGTTAATTCGGGGAAAATTTGGGGTTTATTGAGGGAGAATTTGGAGGTTTATTGGGGGAAATTTGGGGGTTAATTCGGAAAAATTTGGGGTTTATTGAGGGAGAATTTGGGGGTTCATTCGGGAGAATTTGGGTTTGGCAGGGGAAGAATTTGGGGTTTCTTGGGGAAAATCTGGGATTTATTGCAGGAGAATTTGGGGGTTCATTGGGAAAATTTGGGGGTTAATTGGGGGAGAATTTGGGGATTTATTGGGAGAAAATTTGGGGGTTCATGAGGGAAAATTTGGGGCTCAGGGAAGGTCTCTGGGGTAGGAACTGGGGGTCCCGAGGGGGGGGGAAATGGGGGCTTGGGGGAGGATTTGGGGGAGATTTTGGAGGCCTGGGGGGTTTGGGGTCCCCTCTCGGGGTTTGGGGTCTCCCCCCTCAGGTCTGGGGTCCTTCCTTAGGGTTTGGGGTCCCCCCTCAGTTTTGGGGTCCCCCCCCTCAGTTTTGGGGTCCCCCCCAGGTCCTGGCAGGGAACGAGGCCGTTTGGAGCCGCCCCCCCCCCTCCGCGCCCCCCCAGCCCCAGGTGAGCCCCCCCGGGACCCCCCGGCAGTGGTGGGGGGGGGGGGTGGGGGTCCCCTCACAGCACCCAAGGGTGCCCCCCGCACATCCCCTCCCCCACCCCCCACAGGGAGGACCCCGCGGTGGGGGAGGAAGAGGAGGAAGAGGAGGAGGAGGGGGAGAGACCCCTGAGCCCCGGAGAGCTGCGGGAGAGGGTCCTGAGAGAGGTGGGGGGGCACGGGGGGGGTCCTGAGATACGGGTGGGGGTCCCAAACCCACGGATGAAGCTCCTGGGTCCATGGGTGGGGGTCTCAGATCCATGGGTGGGGTCCCAGACTCATGAGTGGGGTTCCCAGATCTATGGGTGGGGGGCCCAGGGTCCATGGGTGGGGTTCCCAGATCCATGGGTGGGGGGCCCAGGGTCCATGGGTGGGGGTCCCGGGACTCATGGGGCTGGTTCCAGATCTATGGCTGGGGGTCCCAGTGTCATGGGTGGGGGTCCCAAGTCTATGGGTGGGGGTCCCAGGTCTATGGGTGGGGTCCTAGGGCCATGGTTGGGGGTCCCAAACCCACAGATGGGGCTCCTGTGTCTATGGGTGGGGTCCCAGATCCATGGGTGGCAGTCCCAGATCCATGGGTGGGGGTTCCAGATCCATGGGTGGGGGTCCCAGATCCATGGGTGGGGTCCCAGATCCATGGGTGGGGGTTCCAGATCCATGGGTGGGGGTCCCAGATCCATGGGTGGGGTCCCAGATCCATGGGTGGCAGTCCCAGATCCATGGGGTGGGGGTTCCAGATCCATGGGTGGGGGTCCCAGAACCATGGGTGGGGGTCCCAGATTCATGGGTGGGGGTCCCCAGAACCATGGGTGGGGGTCCCAGATCTATGGGTGGGGGTCCCAGATTTATGGGTGGGGGTCCCAGATCCATGGGTGGGGGTTCCAGGTCTATGGGTGGGGTCCCAGATCTATGGGTGGGGGTTCCAGATTTATGGGTGGGAGTCCCAGATCTATGGGTGGGGGTTCCGCTGCCATTGGGGGGGTCCCGGACACGCGGGTCCCCCCTAAGCCCCCTCCTCCCGCAGGTGCTGAGCCGCGAGGGACCCCTCCCCACCCCCCGGGCGAATTTGGGGGGTCCCTGAGCTCCCCCCTCCCCCACCGGACGTCGGGGTCCTCCCCCACCCCGTTGCCATGGCAACCGAGTAAATATTTGGGGCTGTCGCGGTCGCGTTGCCCTCGGCAACGGCCAAACTTCCCAAAACAGCGCAAAACGGCCCAAAACGAGCCCGGGAGGGAGGGGGAAGTAGGGGGAGGGGTGGGGGCACCGCCCCTGTGTCCCCCGTGTCACCCACCCGAGGGCGGGGGTCGCACGTGGGTGCCCCTCCCCCACTTTGGGGACACCCCAGGGACCCCCCAGAGCCCCCCCCTGTTCGTGGTGATGCCCTGACGTCATTGCCCGGGACCCCCTGACGTCACACCCCCCTGGCCACGCCCCGGTGGGCACCGCCCGGAGTGACACGGCTGGGACCGGCCCGGCGGAGGGACCCGAACCCGCCCGAGGGGACCCGAACCGGGAGGAGCCGAATCGCTCCGGGAACACCCGAACCGTCCCGAACAACGGAACCGGAGCGTCCCGCGCGAATTGACCCGAACCGGGAGGAGCCGAACTGCTCCGGAAACACCCGAACCGTCCCGAAACAACGGAACCGGGAGGGTCCCGCGCGAATCGAGCCGAACCCACCCGAGGGGGCCCGAACCCGCTTGAGGGACCCGAACTTGGAGGAGCCGAACCGCTCCGGAAACACCCCGAACTTGCACTCGAAGGGGGACCCGAACCTGCCCGGGGGGGCCGAACGAGGTCCCGAAGCTGTCCGGAGGGACCCGAACCGACACGAGGGGATCCGAATCCGCCTGAGGAAGCCGAACCCGCCTGAAGGGAGCCGGACCCGCCTGAGGGAATCCCCGAACCGGGAGGGCCCGAACCGCTCCGGAGAGACCTGAAACACCCGAACCGGCAGCGTCCCGCGCTAAGGAACCCAAACCCACTCAGAGGGGACCCGAACCGGGACTTTCCCGTCCGGAAGGACCCGAACCGAACCCCCCAAAACTCCTCCGGAACAACCCGAACCCACTCGGGTGAGTGCCGGGACCCACCCTGAGGTCTTATGGGGAAGGGGGTGGGGGATCCTGAGGTGCCCCCTCCCCTGGACTCTGGGGGGTCTCTCCCGGACCTTTGGGGTCTCCTCTGCCCCTCAGGGGTCTCCCCTGTCCCTCAGGGGTCTCCCCTGGACATTTGGGACCCCCCCCCCCATCATCCACAGGATGCAGCCAGCGCCGGGTGGGGCGGGGCGACCCCAGGATGAGGCGAGGGGGGGGAAAAGGAAGGAGATTCTCCAAGGCCTTATATGGGCACAGCCCTGACCGCCCCCACCCCTGCATGCCCGGGACCCCCCAGACCCCCGGGGTGAACCCCAGCATTCCTGGGATCCCCCCCAGTGCAGGGAATCCCCCCCTAAGCCCCAACTTCCTTCACTCCTTCCAGCCCGCCCAAAGCTCCTCAGCTGCTTGATACCCCCCCCCACCCTCTGCAGCCCCCTCCCCCACAGGTCCCTGTACCCCCAGTATCCCCCAGTCCTTAATTCCACCCCAGTACCCTCCCAGTCTCCCCAGTCCTGCTCACCCCAAATCCCAGTGATGCTCCCCAATAACTCCCCCAACACCCTCCTGAGCCCCTCATCTCTCCACGTCCCCTGGGATTTCCTAATCCCAGTCTTCCAGTCCTTCACATCCCAAATCCCAGTGATGCTCCCCAATAACTCCCCCAACACCCCCCTGAGCCCCTCTTCTCTCCACATCCCCTGGGATTTTCCCTCCCTGCTGTGTGCAGACCCCCCCCCACCCCTCAACACCTTCAAGGTGTAAACCTGAGGGTAAAAATTTACCCCTGACCCCATTAAAAAAAAAAAAATTACAAAAAAATTTAAAAACTTACCCCCAACCCCATTAAAAAAATTTAAAACTTACCCCCAACTCGATTAAAAAGAAATTACCAAAATAAAATGTCAAAAATTTACCCCCAACCCCATTAAAAAGAAAAATACCAAAAAACCCCAAAAACAACAAAAAAAAATTTACCCCCAACCCCATTAAAAAAATTACCAAAAAAAATTTCAAAACTTACCCCCAACCCCATTTAAAAAATACGAACAAACAAAAAAAAATACAAAAAAATTTTAAAACTTACCCCCGACCCCATTAAAAAAATAAATTACAAAAAAAAAAATTCAAAAATTTACCCACAACCCCATTAAAAATTACAAAAAAAAAGATTAAAATTTACCCCCAACCCCCTTAACCCCCTAATATCCCTGGTACCCCCCAGCCCCAATACACCCAATCCCCCCATATCCCCCGACACCCCCGGGACCCCCTGACGCCCCCCCAGTGCCCCCCATTTCTCCACAGCCCCCGGGATGCCCGCTCCGTGCCGCCCCCCGTCCCTCCTGCGCTGCGTCCAGGCCCTCAGCGCCCTCCTGGCCCTGGCTCTGGCCGCAGCCCCCGGCTACTGGAACCCGGGCGAGGGCGACGGCTGCTTGTCCGCCTGGGCCTTGTCCTTCGTCTTCACCACCCTCCTCCTCCTCAACGACGCCTTCCGCCGCCCCCTCCCGCCCCGCCGCGACCTCCCGCTGGCCCTGGCTTGTGCCGCCGCCATGGCTTGCGCCACCGCCACCATCCTGTGGCCTCTGGGCCACCTCCGGGGACACGAGGGCAGCTACGGCCGCCCCCGCGCCCTCCGCGCCGCCGCCACGGCCGCCTCGGCCATCGCCACGTTGGCCTACGCCGCCGAGGTGGCCCGCGACCGGGCGCGACCCGGCGAGGCCGCCCCTTACCTGGCCACTCCCTCGGGGTTGCTTAAGGTGGCCGAAGCCTTCCTCGCCCTCCTCCTCCTCGGGCTGTCGGCCGAGCTGCACGCAGCGTCGGGGCCGGCGGCGCTGCGTTGGTGTCTGGGCATTTTCTGCGTGTCCTTCGTGCTGGGCGTGCTGCTGGTCGGGGGGTGCCTGCTGGGCTGGGGGTGGTGCGGGTGGATGAGGGACCCCGAGGGGCTGCGCTGGGGGTTGGGGATCTACGCGGGGCTGGGGGTGGTGGCCTACGGGGCGACCACGGTGCTGTGGTCGCTCTACAGCTTCTCGGATGACATGGGGGGCCAGTCCCGGAGACCCTACGGCTGCCCGGCCACGTGCCCCTGGGACAGGAAGGTGCTGGTGGCCGTGCTCAGCGGCCTCAATTTGGTGGCGTTCGGGGTGGGATTTGGGGCAGACGGGGAGGTTGGTGCTGTTGAGGGCCTGAGGGGGCACTCCAGGGTGAACTGGGGGGAGGCAGAACCTTAAGGGGGGTCTGGGGTCTCCCACAGGTCGGGATCAGGGCCTTTGTGGGGGTCTGGGTTGATTCCTGGGGTGGGATCAGGCTCCCAGAAGGGTCTTGGATCCTCTGTGGGGCAGGATTGGGATCCTAAGAGGGGTCTGGGGTCTCCTTCTGGAATGTATTTGGATCCTAATGGGGGTCTGGGTGGCCCCCTGAGGGGGTATGGGACCCTAACTGGGGTCTGGTGTCCCCTCGTGGGGTGGGATCAGGATCCTAATGGGAACCCTGGACCCTCTATAGGGCAGGATTGAGCCCCTAATGGGGGGCTGGGGTCACCCCAGGGTGGGATCGGGATGCTATGGAGGGCTGGGGTCTCCCCTTGGGGTGAGATCAAGCCCCTACTGGGATTCCTGGATCCTTTTTGGGGCAGAATCTGGCCCTTTTCAGGGTCAGGGTCCCCTCTGGAAATGGAGATCCTGGTTCCTCTGTGGGGTGGGATTCAGCCCTTGATGGTGGTCTGGGGTCCCCACCAGGGTGGGATTGGGTGCCTGAATGGGTTCTGGATCCTCTGTGGGGCAGGATCTGGTGCTTGGGGGGGTGTGGGATCAAGTGCCTGAGGGATCCTTCCTGGAGGGATGGTGGGATCACAAGGGGGTCTTGGGGAGGGGGGACACCGCTGAGGCCTTAAACTGGGGGGTGCAGATGTGTTGTCATTAAAGGGACATTTCTGCTTCTTAATGAGCTGCTGAGAGTCTGTGAGGGGGGCAAAAGGGAGGGAAATGTGGGGGGAAAAATGATGGGCAACATGAGCGGGAAAGGGTAAGAAATGTGAGGGGGGAAAGGAGAGGGATGGGGAAAAGAGAAGAAAATGGAAAAAATGTGAGGGGAAAGTGGGAAGTCTGAGGGAGAAAAGGGTGGGAAAAGAGAGGGGAAAAGGCAGAAAGTGTGAGAAGAAAAAGAAGAAAATAGGGCAGAAAATGTGAAGGGTAAAGGGTGGGAAACGTGAGGGGAGAAAAGAGTGGGAAACGTGAGGGGAGAAAAAGAGCGGGAAACGTGAGGGGAGAAAAGAGCGGGAAACGAGGGGAGAAAAATAGCGGGAAACGTGAGGGGAGAAAAAGCAGGAAAAGTGAGGGGAGAAAAGGCAGCAAATGGAAGGCAAAAAGGACAGTAAAGCTGAGTGAAAAGGACAGGAAATGAGAGGAAGAAAAGGTATGAAACAAGGGGAGAAAAGGGGGGAAATGTGAGGGGAAAAAGGGCAGGAAATATGAGGGGAAAAAGGGCAGGAAACGTGAGGGCAGAAAAGGGGAGAAACGTGAGGGGAGGAAAACACTGGGAAATATGAGGGAAAAAGAGCAGGAAACATGAAGAGAAAAAAATGGCAGGAAATGTGAGGGGAAAAAGGGCAAGAAATGTGAGGGGGAAAAGAGTGGGGAATGTGAGGGGAGGAAGGGTGGGAAGTGTGAGGGGAATAAAGAGAAATGTGAGGGGAAAAAAGGGGGAAACGTGAGGGGAGAAAAAGGGCCCAAAATGTGAGGGGAGAGAAGGGTGGGAAATGTTGAGGAGGGAGGAAAAAAAAGGCAGGAAATGTGAGGAGAGAAATGGGTGAGAAATGTGAGGGAGAAAGAGTGGGAAATATGAGGGGGAAAAAAGGGGGGGGAAAGAGCAGGAAACGTGAGGGGAAAAGGGTGAGATATGTGAGGGGAGAAAAGGGCCCAAAATATGAGGGGAATAAAGAGCAGGAAATGTGAGGGGGAAAAGAGTGGGAAAGGTGATAGGGGAGGAAAAAAAGGCAGGAAATGTGAGGGGGAAAAGGGGAAGAAATATGAGGGGAAAAGGGCGGGAAAAATGAGAGGAGAAAAGGGCGGGAAACGTGAGGGGAGAAAAGGGCGGGAAACGTGAGGGGAGAAAGAGTGGGAAACATAAGGGGGGAAAAGCATGGAAAGTGAGGGGAAAAAGAGCAGGAACTGTAAGGGGAAAAGGGTGGGAAATGTGAGGGAAGAAAAAGAAATATGAGGAAGAAAAGAGTGGGAAATGTGAGGGGACAAAAGGGCGCGGAAACGTGAGGGGAATAAAGGGGCGGGAAACGTGAGGGGAGAAAAGGCAAGAACCTCGAGTGGAAAAAGAGCCAGGAAACACCAAGGGAAAAGAGAATAAACCATGAAGTGGAAAAGGTAGGAAATGTGCTCCCCAATTCCTCAGGTGCCCCCTCCCCAAAATGAAGCACAGACTCTGGGGGATTGCTCAGATTCTTTATTTTTATTGGGTTCATGGGGCCTTCGTCACCCACGCACTCTTCTTCCTCAGCACCACGGGCTCGTGGCTCTGCAGGATGGTGCTGGCCTGGTGGTGGCAAAAATGGGGGTCAGCACCCCAAAATGAGGTGGAACCCCTTAAATGTCACCTCAAAATCCATCCCACCAATTAAACACCGCCCCCTAATTAAAGACCTCCTAATTAAACCTCCCAAATTAAAGATCCCCCAAATACAGCCTCAAAGATCACCAGTTAACTCCCTCAATTAAAGACCCCCCTAATTAACATCCCTAATTAAATATCTCCATTTAATCTCCCCCAATTAAAGCCCTCCAATTAAACCCCTCCATTAAAACACCCCAACAAAACCCAAGTAAAAACCTTCTATTTAACCCCCCAATAAATCCTCCCAACCAACCCCCCCCAATTAAATACATTCCATTAAACTTCCCAATCAAACCCCTTAATTAAATAGGGGAGGTTTTAATTATTAATTAATTAATTAAAATTAATACCCCCCCAAATTAAGCCCCCCCCCAACCCCTCACCATTTTTTGTCACCATCACTGGGGCACTGTGGAGGGAGAGACAAAAGTTGAGGGGCCTTCAATTCCCCCCCAAACCCACAATGCCCCCAGCCCAATATCAGGAACCCCTCCCAAGGTACCCCAAAAAATTTTGGGGACCCCCTCAAATCTTGAGGAGCTCCCCCAGATTTTGGGGGTAATCACAACCCTCCCCAGGTATTCATGATCTCCCCCGAAATTTTGGGAACCCCTCCCGATTTTGGGGACCCTCCCAGATTTTGGGGACCCCCTCACCCCAAAATCCATCAGGACCTCCCCCACATTTTGGGAATCCCCCAATTTTGGGGAGCTCCCTCACCCCAAAATCAGTCCCAGGTACCACAACCCTCACCCAGGTATTCACGACCTCCCCCAAAATTTTGGGAACCCACCCCGATTTTGGGAACCCCCCACAATTTGGGGACCCCCCCAGATTTTAAGGGGACCCCCTCACCCCAAAATCACCCAGGACCTCCCCCAGATTTTGGGGTGCCCCTTCCCCCTGGCTGTTTTTTCACCCAGCACCTCCCCAAAGGTGTTCACAACCCTCGCCCCGCTATTCACCACCTCCCCCCAACATTTTGGAAACTGCTCCCATATTTTGGGGACCCCCTCCCATATTTTGGGGCCCCCCTCACCCCGAATTTCGAGCCGACACTCGGTCAGGGCCTCGCCCAGCTCGTTGACAGCCCTGCAGGTGTAGGTGCCGCCGTCGAAGGGCCCCGGCTTGCGGATCAGCAGCGTCAGCACCCCCTGGCTGTGCCTGGCCAGGAATCTGGGGTCATCCCCGATGGCCATCTGGTTCTTCAGCCACACCACCTTGGGCTGGGAGGGACACACCTGGTCAGGGGAGCCCCAAAATGCACCCCAAAAATACCCCAAGGTAGCCCAAAAATCACTCAGATCTGGGGATGTATCCATAGTCCCACTGGGACACCCCAAAATCCTTCCTCAGGTGAACCCCACATCTGGTTCTTCAGCCACACCACCTTGGGCTGGGAGGGACACACCTGGTCAGGGGAACCCCAAAATGCACCCCAAGGCACCCCAAAACCACTCAGATCTGGGGATGCATCCATAGTCCCATTGGGACACTCCAAAACCTTCCCTCAGGTGAACCCCACACCTGGGTCTTCAGCCACACCACCTTGGGCTGGGAGGGACACACCCGGTCAGGGGAACCCCAAAATGCACCCCAAAAATACCCAAGGTAGCCCAAAACCACTCAGATCTGGGGATGTACCCATAGTCCCATTGGGACACCCCAAAATCCTTCCTCAGGTGAACCCCACACCTGGTTCTTCAGCCACACCACCTTGGGCTGGGGGGACACACCCGGTCAGGGGAACCCCAAAATGCACCCCAAAAATACCCCAAGGTAACCCAAAAAACATCCCAGGGCACCCCAAAAACACCCAAGCTGGGGATGAGCACACAGCCCCATTGGGGCACCCCAAATCTCCACCTAGGACCCCCAAATCTCCACCCAAACCCCCCTAAATTGGGGGGTGAACGTGCACAGGGGGATCCCCAAACCCACCCAGGACCCCAAATCTCCACCCAGGACCCCCAGTCTCCACCCAAACCCCCCCAATTTTGGGGGTGAACAGGGTCAGGGGTACCCCAAAACCCCCTCAGGAGCCCCATCTTCATCCCCACCCACCCAATTGTGAGCAGAGGATGAGTTGGGGACCCCAAATCTCCACCCAGGACCCCCAAATCTCCACCCAGGACCCCCAAATCTCCACCAAACCCCCCTAATTTTGGGGTGAACAGGGTGAGGGGTGCCCCAAAACCCCCTCAGGACCCCCATCTTCATCCCCACCCACCCAATTGTGAGCAGAGGGATGAGTTGGGGACCCCAAATCTCCACCCAGGACCCCAAAATCTCCACCCAAACCCCCCCAATTTTGGGGTGAACAGGGTCAGGGGTACCCCAAAACCCACCCAGGACCCCAAATCTCCACCCAAACCCCCCTAAATTGGGGGGTGAAGATGCACAGGGGTACCCCAAAACCCCCTCAGGACCCCCATAATTATCCCCATACCATAAGGTTGAGAGTAGAGGGATGAACTGGCGACCCCAAAACCACCCAGGACCCCCAAATCTCCACCCGGGACCCCAAATCTCCACCCAAACCCCCCTAAATTGGGGGGTGAAGATGCACAGGGGTACCCCAAAACCCCTCAGGACCCCCATCGTCATCCCCCACCCACCCAATTGTGAGCAGAGGGATGAGTTGGGGACCCCAAAACCCACCCAGGACCCCAAATCTCCACCCGGGACCCCAAATCTCCACCCAAACCCCCCTAAATTGGGGGTGTTGAGAGTAAGGGATGATAAGGTTGAGAGTAGAGGGATGAACTGGCGACCCCAAAACCCACCCAGGACCCCAAATCTCCACCTGGGACCCCCAAATCTCCACCCAAACCCCCCTAAATTGGGGGTGTACAAGCACAGGGGTACCCCAAATCCCCCGAGGCCCCCCCAAACCTTGGGGTGCCCCCTGACGGCGCAGTTGAGGGCAGTGGAGTATCCAGCCACGGCGCTGCGATCCACCAGAGGGGTCAGGAACTGGGGGGCCGAGCGGAAATCGTGCTCCTGGTACTGGGGGGGCTTCAGCCGCAGCTCTGGGGGGGTCCCAGAAGGATTTAGGGGGACCCCAGAATTTTTTTTGGGGGGTGATGATTGGTTGGGGTTTGATCCCCATGCATAAATAAGGGGGGGTGTAATGAAGGGAGGTCACAATGTGTGGGTGAGCCCTAAAAATGCTTTGAAATATTAATATTGCTTGTTAAACACCCTAAATTAATAATTCTCAATTAATTAAAAATCACAATTAA